TGTGTAAGAGTTGTCCAGGCCAGCGCTCCACTGAGACTCAGGCTGGGTCTGGTTCCCCACCTTTGCCTCATTGCCCTGATCTTCTCTGTTGGGAGGGGAACTCCCATTTCCTGGTGCTGTGCCACGAAAACACGAGCTTGCCAAGTTATTCTCTGTATGTGTGTTTGTGTGTGTATGTGTTGAACAAGCCAGAAGTACCAGAAGTAAAAAGATCCCTTAACAAACCACATTTTTCAACATCCACAAGGATCCCCAGATTTCTCGTCTGTGGATTTCTCTTCCCCGTGCTTTACATTTTCGAGGGGGAAAAGGAAACCAACAGAAAAACACAAGAACCCAGCTTAGCCGCCTCTAATCCAGTATGCACCTCAGTCTCCATGAAAGTGTTCTTGGGACGACAGCAGTATTTCCCTTGGCTGGGATGCCCAGCCTCCTGGCTCCTCTTGAGCTGCAGAGCTGTAGACATTCCGCTGAGTAGTTTGCAACCCTGCCTGCCAGGAAAACCCAATGTCTCCGTGGAGAAATCTCAGCGGAGGAGTTTGATACTCAATCAGGGATGGAAAAGAAGGGAGTTTAGGCCTCCCTGAGACCAATTCCTTCCCTAAAAAAAATGTTAGAGCAAGAGGAAAAAAAGGGGAAAGGGATCATATTTATACAGACATGGGCCCAGACACGCCAGTAGTGTTGGTGTGTGGTGTATTCGTTTGTGTCAGGATGGGCCCAAGTCGTGGAGACTGAAGCCAAATGTCTGTTTAGGTCAGTGGGAGTCTATCAACCTTGGATCAGGCCTACTTTTGGGTCTGGAGCTGAACTTCCAAAAGTCTGGGCACGCTTGCATTTTCTGGTGAGGGGGGGGCTTGTTTTGGCCTGGTTTTGAGATAGGAACCAGCTGCAAATTTAGGCCTCCAAACATGTTCTAGGAAGGAGGTTATAAAAGAGCCCCTTCTTGCCCAACACATTTATTCCCTGTGGGCCAGATTCTGACATCTTCATTAACACTGAGCAGAGCCTCGCTCCAAGAGCAGTTACATTGATTTGAATGGGCCTATTCAAGGAGTCAGCAAGTACCTCATGTCAGCAAGGGTAGCACCATCTAAGGGTCACATCTGTTTGCTTCATTGGCATAAATGAGTTTTTTCTCCTTCCTGCTATTAGCACACACTGCTACGGAAAAAGCACATTGGGTTCCTTTCTTCCTGGCACCTCTTCAGCAAAATGCTGGTTGCAGATTGCTCCTTACTGCAAATTACAGGAGCTCTCAGCTTGTAGGTCCAAGAGCTAGAAAAATCCTCCCATGACAAAAGGAAGCTGTGATGAGGTCAGTTCCTTCCTGAGCATTTCTCTAAACACCTTTTGCCTGCTTTCCCTCCCAGACTGCAAAATAGTGCCCACACATGAAAGAAGAAGAAGGACTCCACTGCCTACCAACACCTTTTTGTGGCCACCCCTTCCTAGAGGTGATTCTCCTGTGAGCCACAGTCACTTCTCAGTCACATACTCAGTCACTTCCAATACCACATCTGCTCTTTTGGATTACTTTGACAGAACCAGATAAGGGACAACTCCTGTGACTGGTGATAGAGGCAAATGACCTTCCAGAGTAGTACCTGTGATGGACAGGATGTATCAGCCTCATGTCTCGCTACCCTGAGCTCTGAGACATCTCTGAAAACCAGCTTTGAACTGGACACTTAGGCTGTTGGAAAGCTGAATGAATCCCAGACTTAGACAATTGATTAGGTATACCTGATTCACACAACTTGGAAGTTGTGCTCCTCACTCACACACACTTTTGAAAACCTCACTGACAACACCCAACACCTGCATCTTCATTCTCTCCCTCCCAGGACAGTCACCAGCTCTTGGCCCTGCCTGTTTCAGAGATGACTAATTACAGGACAGCAAAGCAAAGCAAAATCCATCCCCTCTGGATTCTAACACCATAACCACAGCAGGACACCTCCTGGTCATGTGACTGAGGTTTGTCACAGGTAGATTTGCACTGTGATGTTAATATGGATAACCAGAACTATTTGCATTACACCTCCTGAGAAACAAGGCTGCTTAAACAGCGTGGCTGTGACTGTAAGGACAGGCCAGCCAGTGTCAGAGTCTCTTTCCAGTTGTGAAGAATACTAAACATGCAGCTCCCACAGGCCAGCATGTGCAGAATAAAGGCATGTGATTTTTTTCTAGTGTCAACAAGATAGTTGTGTGCAGTGCTGCTATGAACCCAAGCAATCTATATTTTCCTTACTGAAAAGGAGGGAAATAAATCCCCACCCTTGTAACAGTCAGCTTTCCTCACCATTACCATCAGTTAGCATGATTTTTTAACTCACTCTGTATGAAACTCCTCCTTTCCTGCCATTTTTTCTTGGACTTATTCTACACAGTGTTCTCAGATATTACAAACAGGTATCCAAGAGTCTGCTGCTCTTCCAGCATGCACTTTAGAATTTCATGTGAGCAGCAAATTCTCTGAATCCCTGGTCTCCCTCAGAAAACTGGCTCGACATTGCAATGAGAGTGATAGACTGTTGTTTGTCAAGAAAGACCTTCTGGGAGAGGTTAAGAAGATGATAACCTCTGCTCTTGTAGGTTCTACTCTGAATGGACTGATGAGCCAAAAACAGTTGCCAGTCCATGGAATTATAAGGTCTATAGGGGAACAGCTGAGTTCTGGAAAACTGCTGGCAGCAAAACTGGGATTATTGGTCATTTATAGGCTGGAAAGGATCACAGTGGCAGGACAAGGAAGTTGGCAGAACAGCTTGTTTGCACACATTTCACGTGCAGGAATGATTTTTATATGAGCAAAAGGTCTTCAGGGGATGGGTCCTACTTAAGACTTGAGATCTGTGCCCACTTTAGAGGATGTGGAGGGATGGGATTCTGGTGTTAGTCCTGGTCTGGTGTTCCCAGAGTCCAAAGACTTTGCAAGGAAAGTTCTGAGTGAGCTGGAGACTAATATATGTGAACACAGGGAACACTGGGGCACTTTTTGGAGATGCAGAGCAGGTTAAGCTGTTTTGTAAGATACAGTTAATGAAACACCATTGGTGCCCTGAGGAGAAAGGAAGGGAATTGTGTTATTATTATTACAAATGCAGCCACTGAGGCATAAACAAAACAACTTGCAGAAAACCAGACAAAGGAGGTTGCTGCAGAATCAGCAGTTTCAACTCAGGTTTCCTGTGTCCCAAACTAGCACTTGAACCATCTTCCCTCTCTGTGAGAGAGAAACAAGTATCAGAGAGCAGAGTGAGTCTCTACATTTTTCTAGCCCAAGACAGAACTGTGTCCATTGTTGGGACTAGCCCCCTAGGAGGAATTATTTCTATTGAGTTTGTGTGTGTCACAGCCAGATAATGCACTGGGTGGTATTTCCCTCTCTTCCCCCAATCTTTCTCTTTTATGACCACATGACTTCACCCCCTGTGTGAGTGACAGTACCCATTAGACTAGACTCTGATGTAAACCAGCTGTGTGGAGAGAAGGGGAGGAAGGGAGTGGGGAACAGCAATTTAGAAAACAATTAAGAACATCAATTCCAATTCATTTGCTTGGCCAGGATAAGTAATTTCTAAGAGGTAACTTGATCTGCAGCGGACTGAGATTAAAGGCGAACTCCATTATCTCTAGTTTACAGTCTGGAGGAATTTGTTTTAACTGGTTACCAAGGAGGCTGCATGGAAAAAAAAAAGGAAAAATAGAGAACTTTTGCCTAAAAATGTCTAAAAAATCCTCCTGATTTCTTCTTTTAAAGAGCACGCATGGATTTATGAACTCTCTGAGAGTATGGTTGATTTGCAAGGCAGGAGGAGCAGTTCAACTTTTGGAAATAGAATCCATGCCTGCAGGAGCTTGGAGGTGCGTTTTATCAAAACCAATTATGCCAGTTTACACTGCTGTTAAGATTTTGGTGTAAAGATAGACTAGAAACATGAGACAGAAGCAGATGCAGCATTCTGCAGAGGAAGCAGCAGGATCTGGAGGAGAACACAGCGAGATGAGCACCAGGCAGCCCCAAGTGTTCTCCTTTGACACTGCTGCACTCTCTGCTGTGAAAGGCAATTCCCTGCACTGCTTTTCCACTGCCCTGAGTGAAATGGTGGTGAAACACTTGGACACCTCTCAGAGGTGCTGTGAGACTCCAGGAGTAAATACACCAATATCCCTTTGCACACTGAGAGTCTGAACCCAGGCATGCCAGAGCAAGGGCTTGTGACCCAAGAGCACCAAGTGTTCTGTATTCACACTGGCATGTGAGATGATACCAAAAAGAGAGTATGTGAGTGGGAGAGCCACTGATTCTTTACCATGGAATTTCCCCCTCTAGGGCTCTCCCTTTCTACCCTCCTCAGGCCTCAGCACTTTTCACAACCCTGTGTCTCAGTTTTTGCCCCAACTCCTGCAGGCCTTGATCCCTCACTCTTGTTTTGTGAAATACAGTGCTGAAGTCAAGATTCCCTCCGACTCCAGACCATCAAAATGTTTCTTAGTCCACTGGAGTTATCATTGGAAAACCCTGGCACTGGTTCTGAGCATGTCTCTCAAAAACTGCCACCATTGTGCTTGCAGGGACATAGAGGCCACAATGTGTCTCTGGATCTGCTGTGAGGAGCCCATGAGTGGGGTAAAAGCAGACATGGGAAAAACCAACTGTGAGCAGGCTCTAAGTTCGGAGTTGGCTTTGAATCTGCGTTTCCCTGGCTGGACCCAAACTTTTACCTCTCCTGTGCAACTCTGTTTGTCTTAGGGACAAACCACATTTCTGCCATCATGAGACAGCCAGCCTGCACTTTATACAGCTGCATCCCTGTAAGTCAGCTAAGGCTCTGGGGTGATGTAACCACCTCAGTGGAAATAGGAGCTGAAGAATGTGATGTGATGAATTTTCCTGGACCACCAAATAAATTAAAAAGTAGGCTCCCAGCCCAGAAAGGTTGCCCTCCCAAATAAACACAGCCCAGCCTCCCTTCCTCACACACACTTACCTTCTTCCATACCAGGAAGCTGAGCTCCTCACAGACTCCATTACAGACCCAGAATGAACAGGTTCTTCCAGCCAGTCAGCATCTCCCATATGGTAATTGCTTTGGTGTGGGCATCTGAGAACAAGACACAACTGTATATACCAGAAATATTCTCTTTGCATAAACTTCTCAGTAGACCTACTTTTGTCTTGTTGCCAGGAAATGTATTTGGGGCCTCTTGCTAACTTCACATTTCTTTGATGAGAGGGGCATGGGCAGTTTGTTCTAATAGTTCAGGTCAGGATTGCTTTGCAGCATGAGACAGGGCATGTTGCTTCCCTCGGCCCCAACTCGTGTGTGTACCCTGGGTGAGTACTCGGCTCCCTCCTGAGGCTCAGTAACAGTTTTTTAATGCCTGGTTCTCTTAAGAGGCAACGTGACCAAGACAGTGCAAAGCACTTTATTTTTGTCCTGGAGAAACCATCCTCCTCGGAGTGTCTCACTCATTAGGACACCAGCCGTTGTAATCCAAGCTCCTTTGATGGAAGGGGTAAGTGGGGAGATTGCCAAAGGGAGGATTAGCTGATGGATGTCTTGAGCTGCAAGGGTGTCTCATACGGATTTGTGCAGGATTTTCACCTCAGCTGGCCTGGCTGGAACTCCTGTCCTACCATACCAAGAGACTCTCCTTGCAAGCCCTGCTCTGCCTCCAGCAACAGTGAGGCCCTGCCCAAGGGCTGGTTGCATGCTGTCATTGTCAGCTCCCTTGTAAAGGAAAGGTGCACAGCATGCCAAAGAAAACATAGCCCTAGCCTATGAAAAACTTACCTGCTGTACACACAAGGAAGGAGCAGCTTTGTCCAGAGGCAGGACTGATTCAGGAGGGATTCCCAACTTGGCTACTCAGTGATACAATGCTTGGGACCATTGTTTTCCCTTCCTCAGGACAGATTACTTTTGCTTCTCTCTGCACTGCACCCTTTGAGACCTATGAATGGAAGTGCTGTAAGCTACTTTGTGCTTTTAGGCCTAACCTTAAGTAAAGACATTTAGAAGGCACAATTCCAAGACATAGTCCTAGACCATGTGATAGGCAGCAGGCTTCTTGCTATTCTTAAGGCAAAAGGAATAGCACAATCCCTGGTTTTCTCTTGTCTGTGACTCTGCCTCCTCCTCACCTTTGTCTTGATCTTTGTTTTCTGCCCCTGTGCTTCTATGGATACATCAGGCTATCTGTGTGCACTGTTTGTTAGGGGACAGAAAGGAAGGACAATCTGCAAAGACCAGTTAGACCCACTTCTGCATTCTTGAGTTATGTGAGAATTTTCATTTTGAAAGAAAAGTTTTCTAAACCTCCACAGTGGCATTAAGCCTTAAAGGGTGTTAACTAAAACCACAAGATGATTATTTCCTGAAATGTCATTATTTGAAAACCATTATTACAATAGGGTGTGTGAGGATGAAAATAGTCCCGCCTGTCAACTCTCCTGCTTCCTACACCACCAAATTTGCATTTCACACATGCCCAGCATGAGGCCATGTCTTCTTTCTGGCTCCTGATCCCAGGAGCCAGAGGCCATCCTGTTCACTCTTGACAGCCAGGCAGGGTACAAAGCTGGATGGGAGCAAGGCACTCTGTGCTGCTGTGTGCTGCCAGCTGCCCCACAGGTTCTTTATCCCACAGGATTACAAACCCATCCACGGGGGGGGTGTCCACTCTTTTGTCACAAGACCCAGTAGAGCAGGATATAAAAGTGCTTGTAATGTTATTATTTAGATGTTCCCTTGGGTTGTTTTCAGCAGAAATGTGAGTTGTTTGTTTTCCAGCAGAGGATCAGTTACAAAACCAACACCCAGCAGAAAGGCTTTTTTGAGAGCAGGGGCTCTGTTTGCCATGTTAATTTCAGGGAAAGTTATTTGGGAGGAGGGAGGAAGTAGTTAAATCCTTGTTTACCATGCTGGAAACCCAAATCTCCTCAGTTTACACAAATAATGGCTCAGTGGCCTGAGCTCAGGAGAGCTGGGTTTGTTCCCTGCTCTAACACATACAACTCTCTAAGGCCCCTCTTCACTCAAGATGAAATCCAACTCACTTAATATTGGTCCCAGCTGAAGGCCAAATCACTCAGCAGAAGTGGAAGACAGGATATTCCTAATGTCAGATTTGTCCAATAGCACTGGATGTATGGAAGTGTCTTGCAGAGGTACTGGCCTTGCTTCCCTGATTATTAAGCAGCTGTAACAACCCACTGGACTGAACAGCTGAAGTAAGACAAGATGAATGTACTCTGCTTTTTGGGGTTCCCATAGATGCAATGAAGCTACCTAGTCCTTCCCCACCTGCCAGTGGGGTGGAAAGGACCCATGTATACACTAATTATTACAGCCTGCTCTGATGCTGAAATGCTGGAGGACATAAAAGCCTGACTGTAAGCAGATATATCTACCTGAGAAGGCAGTGGTGGAAAGCAGTCCACTTGTTCCTAAATCCTTTCTGTTTGGTACACACACCTGTCCTGGCTGTTGTATGGCTGGTTTGGATCACCACGATGTGCTCAGCCATCTTTTGTCAGGTGATATTTCTCTCCTTGATGTAGAGATTGCAGTCTGTTGATGGAGACAGGATAAAGCTGCCTGTGCTGAAAGAGCCCAAAAAAAGAGATTATTAGTTCCTGGTCTCATCTACATTAGGGCCAAGGGTTTTCTCTGCCTATGGAGATCAGAATTGCTGCATGCTGCAAACTGAAGGCACTACCAGACATCAACTGGGGATCTACAAGTCTGAGAACAGAGAATCCTACCCAAGCAGTGAAATGACTTGGGTTAGGGTGAGAAAATACTCTCTGCTCAGGGTCCTTCTGCCTTGGCATCCAGACAGTCAGGGATGAAATACAGCCTAATCACAGGCTGTGACCACATCAGTGGCTCTACAGACACCATCCAACAGGAGCCTCCTCAATGGCCCTCATTTTGCCTTTGCTAAGTGGTCAGGGCTGCCTCTCTCACCAAATCAAGGCAGCCCAAATACGGTTCCTCTGGGAACTTTAATGTTTTACTGAATCACTTAGTTTCTCTTGATGATTGCTGCTTCAGAGTCTCAGTTGCCAGGATCCCAGTGGGGATTTTGTTGATGGGGGTTTATTGACTTCTTGTTACCTTGAAGTTACTGCAGTGCCAGGAGTAACAGGTAACTCCTGGAGTCTGTTTATTTTATGGGTTGGATTTTTAAGAGTTGGCCAATGGTACCCTCATTTTAGGAGAAGTCACTTGTTTATTTAGCAATGCACTCACATGCTGATCCATAAATAAAATCAGAGTGTTATTTAATAAGACCCAACAGAAGGTCAGCCCTGGTTCATTGGTAAACTGATAAATCCAGAGTGCAAAAAGCACCCTCGGGAAACTCATCATGTCTATCTGAGGGAGGTATCAGCCAAATATCAGTGTGATTTTGTACTCCACAGAGTTCTCAGGAGTTTTGGTCCCTGTACCTTCTGAAAGGAAAATGCTAAAAGCTCCAAGATGGAGTCCCTGCCAACAACCTTCACTTTGGACCTCTGAAGAGGCTTTCAGAGTTGTAAGATTTTTACAGCTGGGGCTGCAGTTCTGAGTTCTGCATCTGTGGGAGAAAGAACAGAATGCACTGAAGACTGGTCTCACTGCAGGGTCAAGGAATTCCCATACACTGGAGCTGAAATTCATCTCACCTCCTTTAAACACTCAAGTATTACTTGTCTGGACCTAAGACAGTCCTGTAGGCTTCTTCTACAGTTGAGTATATGGGATAACCATTGCAGAAGGGAAGAAGCCTTCTGGGAGGAGCTATCTCTCCCCACTGACAATCATGGGAAGTCTTGACAATTACCTTAAGCTCATACAAGTATCTCTTAGATGTCCAAATTAGGCGAGAAGCATCTCACCCCTGGAGCGCCCTGTGATCATGTGCAGCCATAGAGAAGGGAGCCACAAGGTCCTTAGGTCATTTCAGATGATCCTGTGTAGCACATTACAAAATTCTCACATGATTGAGAGGCTTAAGATACAAGCAGCATTAATTCAAAGAGGCTGGGACAGATCTGAGTGGGTTTTACAAGCGAGACATGGCAGGTGTCACCCAAGGGATTTGCCATGGAGCCCTGGGTTGGAGCCAGGCTGAGCAGATGACATCCAGTGCTGATCCAGCAACAGTTCCCTTGGCAAACAGTTTCTTGGTGTGGCTGGGGATCCAGATTACACAGCTGTCCCTGCTCCACTGCAGCAGATGCCTTGTGAAAAGCTGGCAAGCCACACATATTCCATGGACCACAGGTGACCTTGGCCAATACAAACTGCATATATTCCACATATGTCTGTATACATGTGTAAAACAGCTAACCATGTATGCACATCCAGAGGGGAATCTTCCAAACTAAGATCTGTGATTTCTGACTTGATGATGCTGTGTGTTATTCTGTTATGGGAGGAGTGTGGGAGGACTTCCCCTCTGTAGTATTGCCCCAGCAGTCATGGCAGCAGGAATTGAAGCTGCTCCCAGCAGTGCCAGGCTGCATCTGCACACGGAAGGCTGCTCAGAAAGAGTTGGGTACCACTTGGCAGAGGCTTGGCAGCACCTGTGGCATGAGTGACACCATGAATCTCTGCTACAGATCTGGAAGTGGCAGCCTCTGAATGGGGATTTTACAGTCACAGGGCATTGTCAGAGGTTAGGGAGAGGGGCACAATCAGGCATAATGTACCCACAAATCAGTTCAAGTCCCTGTGAAGTGGTGCAGTTGAATGGAGTTTTCAGAAGGACTTTTTTATTGCTTGGATCTATAATACATCTTTTTAGAATGGGATGAATGAGTGTTCTTCTCCACTGACTGCAAAGAGAGCCTAGACAATTACCTTAGATGAGCCATCTATATTTATGTGTCCTAGATCAAGTGAGATTATTTGTACCTAAGATGCCTGAATTCCCCTGAAGGGTTTGCAAAGACATTCTAGTGCTAAACTTTGATTGAATTGGCCAAATGCTTCAGAAATACCTCTAGATGCCCACTGCCACTGGCAGGCACTTAACTGCCTTCAAATCTGGTCTCCTGGAAAATTCTGAAAATGTAGTCTTGTGTGAAGCTGAGATTCCTGCACGTGAGATCTTCAGAGATTTACAGGCATCCAAAGACACCAAAAGGTTTCTGCTAAGCCACAGTGAACTTAGAGGACTTCTGCATCTTCAAATGCCTCTAAAAACCTTTGTTTCAGGAGTCTGAAAATACCACAACAGGCTGAAATGCCTGCAAATTCAACACTTCTTGGAAGAGAGATACAGGGAAGAGAGACTTTTCACCAATTTTCTGGGTTTTGTTTTTTGTTTTTTGGTTTGTTATTTTTTTTCCACAGGCATACACTGGGTTGTTCTTCCAATGCTTTGAAAGGACCAGAAGCTGTTTATGTTCATGAGCACAATGTTCAGCCTGAGCCTTCTCTGGACAACATTCCAGGTTGGCCTAGTAAGCAGGCTAACCATTACTGTGCTGTTTTAATCTGCTCCAAGCACAACCAGAATCAGTTTATGTCTGCCTGAAAAACATTCTGTAGTTCCTTTAGTGGCCTGGTTTGTACAGGTATTAATCACTCACAGCCACCACTTGGGTAAAGCTGTAATGCTGCCCAAATCACCCTTCTGTGCCTCAGTTTACTTATGCTGGACGAAATAAAAACCATGTTTCAAGGCCTAGGGATGTATAGTGCCATATAAATATTGTTATTTATGGTGATGATGAGAACATGAGCTTTGTTTGGTACAATGACCTGGGAGTGCCTACTTGACATCATCTGGAAAAGACAGGTATTAACCTCTATGTCTGAAACACAGTATGTTGTTACTGCTCTCAGAGAAACAGAATTACCTCCTCTTAAAATCAAAGGTACTCTGCTTTACTTCAGTGAGATGTGGTGATGTCCACAGAGAACAAATCACTTCTGGCAAGTGGAGGCAGGATTTTCTTGGCTAGTAGGAAGAAGCATCAAAGGAAGAGAAGAACGATGGGACACAGCACAACTGGTTTTAAATACATGTAAGAGTCAAGTTCCTCTGGACAGCCCTACTGGTTGATTTGCCATTGTAAACACTCTGGGGAGTCTGGATTAAGAGAATGGGAGAAATGAGTGGATGGCACAAAGGTACTCAGGCACTCAGTGGAATAACTGGTAAAGCCTTTGCCAGCTGGCATTAGGCAGGGATATATTGCTCCCATCAGTGCAATGTCCTGGTACTGTGACTTTGATTTTTAGTGGGTGTTTGGTTATCCAAGTCCATGCCTTCTTCCAGTTTTGATCTGCTCAGATCACACTGAATTCCTGTTTAACAGTGAAGATGCTGAATTGGTCGTAACAAGGATGGGCTGTCATTGCACAGGCACTGGAGAGGGATTTGTGAATCATTTTTATATACTATGGTAAAGTGCAGAGAGCCTGAACTTTTAAGCCAACAATGGCCCTTCCCCAAATTAAGGAAAATTTAAGGATGGCCTGAACTAGTTGACTTGGAGTTCTTGAATTAAAATATACCTTGGAAAAGGAGGAAATCAAAATATTATTAAGTCTGCAGCAATCTCATGCATTTAAGCTCCTGAAGGGCTTGTGTTTCTTTACTCTTGAGGTTCATTATGTCACCAGAAAAGCTTTACTATTTTACTGTGGAAGTAACATAGCCATGAAACATTAATTTCCAGGAATGTGGAAACCATGAAATATGGGTTTTTCTACTAAATTAAGATTTTACTTTTCTCTCTTCACACATAGTTAAGGGAACCAATTTTCATTATATGTTTATGTATATGCATTCTGGAAATTCAAATAGGAAAGATATACAAAACATAGGAAGAACATTTTTACCCTGAAAAATGTATTTCACTGGTAACCACACCAGTCATTTATATTCTGCTTTTCATCCTAAACCACTTTGCATTCTATATCCATCTTGGAACCACGTCTCTCATTACTGAACTGCACCCACTCTGGTGTGTACACGACCAGCTGATTTATTCTGCCCTGTGAGATGTGGCAGCTGTTTAGATTTGTATAGAATTCTTTACTTCCCTATTCCAACAGTGCTGTTCTCTCACCATTGCAGTGACCAGCACCACTAATTTATGCCTGGCACAGACACTGTACAAGGATCTCCTGCAGTCCAAGTATTCTGCACCATGGCAGATGTCTCTGGCTGGAAGAAAAAAGGGTGAAGGACAAATGAATTTGTAATCCATGTAGAGGCCTTTAAAATATTCTCCTCTTACTGCTAACCAGTGTTACTAATTTTAGGACTGATGCCTTTTCCTGAAAAAACAAATGACCAAGCCTGACAGAGCTCAAGAAGTGTTTGGACAATGTTCTCAGGTACACGGTGGGATTCTTGGGGTGTCCAGGAGCTGGACTTTGATGATCCTTGTGGGTCACTTCCAACTCAAGATATTCTATGATTCTAAGATTCCTTCAACTATCTGCACGTACTCACATGCCCACAAAGTCCACATCAGTTTTTAGCAGCCTTGGCAGAATGAAAGCAATGTAAGTGGCTCAAAGGGAATGTGAAGCCCTTAGTTCTGGGGACAATTCCAGAATGCAAGTGTTCACCTAAGGTTTCTAACAATGTTACATACTAAATTTGTGTCCATTACCAGTTAAACAGAATGGAAGAATTAGCCAAAACATCCCAGAAGCATCTGTGTTATGGCTTTCTAGGCTATAAGACACACCAGAATATTCACCAAATCACAGGGTGGTTTTCCTTAATGCTACAATTAGCAATGGAACATAAACAGCAGAGTTACAGGATAAGATTTGATGGCAGAAAGCCCTCTGCCATAAACTGGAAATTCTCAGCATGTGCAACCATACTGCTAGAGAAGATGAGTTATGCAATTAAAATCAAAACTGGAGATTTGTTATCAAAGGATGGCTATGTGCACTAAAATCCAGCTGAGAGGTTCCCTGATCTCAATATCTTCAGGCTTCTTTTTTAGTTAATCTAACACAGCTGACAGTATTTGACACGGCCAATTGTGCCTACAGTCATGTGAAGGATGTTTTATAGAACTCCTCTCCATCAGAACACGGAGGTTTGTCATTATGCAACTCTTTATAAAGTCTAAAAAGCTTTGCAAGAATTGCATTTTAGGGGAGTAAGACATGATAAAAATTCTGACAGTCAGAGCAGTTCTTTCTAACATCACCATTAACTGTTAAAATTTTGAACAAGCCTTAATAACATTTTAAGTGCAATTTATTTTAAATGTTCAATTCAAAAGAAATATTTTATTTTGCCTTAATAAAAAAAAATTAATCAACTTGGAAAACTGTGGTTTCGTGGTTTTCCTTCATAAAGAATTTCAAAATTCTCCCTTCCTGCCTCCATTCAGAACGAAAACAGAATTTCAAATTCTGAATTTGTTTGCAAAATAAATCTCTGTCCTCTTACAGCATTTTCAGTGCCTGAGTGAAGAGGACAAGAGGTTTAATGCATAATTTCTGTGAGCCTTAAGGAGATGGGGTGTGTGTTAGTGTTTTCAAATCCAGGCTTATACAGCTGCTGTTTGAGTATAAATCATAGAAGCTTTTGGTTGCACTAACACCCTCTGCAGTTTAGCACAGCTGTTAATTAATACAATACTGTATTAGTTCTTCTTATAGTCTTACTATTAACGGCCCATGAAATCCCATTAGCTCTGCATATGGTGCCAGACTTGTTCCCAATGTGGGAAAGAAAGAAAGGCACAGTGGTATGAATAATAAAGAGAAGCTTTCAAGTGGTTTCCACTGTGAACATTTTGAAAAAAATATTTTCCAGAATGTAATTTGTGGGGCAAGCTTTTCACAAAATTTCAATGCAAACATGCATATATTTGTCAGCTAAGTTCTCCCCCAGAGTGTGAAATCCCTTATGCACCACTATTGTTCTGTGGCAGAAACATCAGGAAGATGAAGTAGTTCCTGAAAATGGAAAATTAACCAGGTTGGTTTATTGTCCAAATTGACAGAAATGAAAAAAATAAATAAACTGCATAGCTGATGCCAACAAAAAGATAAAACTTCCCTTAGATTTTTGGTTTAAATATTTTAAAGTACAGATAGTGAGAACAGTCAAAATTCGGGTTCAGTTTTCCAAGAAGTTATTTGAATTTCCTGCTTCAGTGATCTGACACAACCCTCTTAAATTCCAAGAAGATTTAAGTGCTATAGTAAAAACCAGGCTTATTTAACACCTCATACAGAACACTCCAAAATGTATTAGCAACTACAGAAAATTCAGCCCTAATTATTTTCTACTAGTTAAGTTTTATCCAGTACTGACTCCTTAATGAAAGAGAGATCCAACAAGGAGCTGTTAGAAAGACTTTTAAAAATGGAAAGAATGACGAAGCGGGCAGGATTTAGAAGCAGACAATTCCCTGGAGAAGCTGACTCCATTGTAATTCTCTCCTGACCCTTCAGGAGTTGCTGCCCTAGAGCTGCAGTAGCAGCAGTGCATGGTTAGGAGTATTCCAACAGATGCTTTTCCTCTTCCCAGTCCAGTGGTTCACCCATAGTCCAGTCTCTGCAGTTCCACCAGGCAATCAGGAATGGCCAGGGCCTTTCTGCATGGCCAACATCCAGACAGGGACACACTGCTCAGGGAATCCCTCCTGCCTCTCCTCCCGCAGGATGGTGAGCCCGCTCATTTCAATGAGGCTGTGGAGGATGTTCAGGTCTCGGATCACGCTGCTGTCCAGGCAATCCAGGGTACAGCCCTCCCTGGCTACATTGTCCTTGAGAATGATAACACCATTAGCCTTCAAGCCATTCTGGCACCGGATGAGAAACTCCAGGAGATCTTTATCTGTCAGATAGCCTACAGATGAAAAGATGGAAAATAGATCACTGGTAACCACCCAGACCCCCCCTGTACACATCAGAATGGTGCCTTGACCTGAGTCTCCACACTCTGTTCATTGCAGGAGTTCTAGTCCCGACAGATTTAATTAGGAAAAGTTGGGCAAATCAATGAGATCAACAGATCTAAACTCAAATCAAGATTTAGGAACCATGTTAGTAGTAGCAACAGATGTGGACAGAAGCCAGTGAGGAGAGTGGAGAAAATACTGGGTGCTGAAGGGTTCTTTAATCTGGTGGTTAAAGCCATAATAAGAATCAGTGGCAGGAAGCTGGAGCCAGACAAATTCATATTGGGAATAAGTGACAACTGCTTAACAGTGTAAGCAATTACCCATTGGAAACTACCAACAGAAGTGGTGTTTACCACCTCTTGAAGACCTCAAATCAAGTGGTTGAACTTCTCAAGATATATTTTAATTGAACACAAACTAGTGACTCAGTACAAGGGTAAAGGAACGAATATAATAGCTTGTGATATAGAGTAGGTCAAACTAGATAACCTAACAGGTAATCTAGATAATCCAAATAGGTAACAACTAATCCATTCTGTCTTTTAATGCTAAAAAATCTCTATGACTTTGTGTAACATTATGGACCCTTCAGTGGAGTTCTGGATCAAAGATGCAACGAGGAATGCAAGACCTGCTAATTGAATTCTTTGTACTACTCCATACTTCTGGGATTTCTGCATATAGGCATACATTTAAAAGTAGTACTTTTTTCAATATGTTATGGAGATGCTGGGTTTTATCCTTCCTTCTCAAAGATCAGGACTTCTGTTACGTTGAGGACAGTGGTGTAGGGCTCAGAGAAGATCAAAGTGAGAACTCTCATGTGTGAAACATCTAACATGAATTAACAAGGACAGGTGATCAGAAACTGAGTGAAAAACTTGAAAAAAGAGATAGTTTGTATTTTCTTGTCAAATATTTAGTTTTCTGGATGGAAGATTTAAACTTTAATAACTGGAAGTTGTCATTTCAAAACAACATTTCGACAGAGCATGACAAGTTTCTTTAACCACCCCTCCCAAAAAAAGGAAAAAGAAAAAAGCCCCCAAGCCTAAAGCTGAATACTTTTCAAGTTGAAGGGAAATGGTAATTTCTATATGAAATGTAAACTTGCCTTTTTTTTTTTTAATTTAAATAACTGCTAGGGCTCACATGCTTATGCATTCATAAGAAAAATCAAGATTGCAATGGCAAGATTCATTGAAGCTTTTGAGCACTGATTTGGAACTTATTGTTCTCTTAATGTGACTTTTAGTGTAGTTTCCCAAGAAAATGAGATCTTCAAGGTATGGCTCTCTAGCAGACAGTCCTGCTTTTGCTCCACCAAATGAACTTGTTGGCATATTTCAGCCAAATTCAGGATGGGGTAGAAGTTTGATTAATGATTAAGATAATTACTATTTCCTTGAATTTGATGGAGGAAGAAGATTCAGATAGGTGTCTATGCCAAACAAAAGGCACACACTGCCTTTGACAGCAGCCACAAAGCTGACCAGCAGAGCATGGGACAGGTCTGAGCTCATTTATCCCCAGGTTGACTCAGATTTGCTCAAAAGATGAGGCAGGAGCTACATTTACTGCAGTGACTCGTTATTCAAGAAAAGCAAAAACACAAAGGAAAATGATACTGGTTTGCTTGTACAGCTGTAAAGACTTGTTCTAAGCAGCTCAGTTTCATTACACTTTAAGACTGTGTGTAAAGGACAAGTAAGTGTTCCTGAATAAAACCTCTCCTGTGCTAATTTCTCTACTTTATCTTTCTTTTTGTCTAGCAAGAAACTATCTCCAGTGTTTTGGATAAAAGGAGTTGTTCAGACCTCCTCTTGTGCTTTAAAATAATGCCTTCTGCCAGCTGCAAATGCATCATGGACACTTTGATCCACAGATTAGGAGAAAACCCTCTTTCTGCAGCAAGTTTGCTAGGAAAAATTATTTTCTTTCTTACACATGTAAGAAACATGGCCCATATTATCTGATTGCCAGTCTGTTGCTCTAAATGCTGCAGGATATTCACTGCAGCAGAAACATCAGATATTTCCTATAGGAGAGTCTGCTGTGGGACATAGCTAAGGGAATCTGTTTAATAAGTATCAGTGCATGTATAAGACATGATCTGATTTACAGGCATTGGTGTATCTGTCTGCAGCAAGGGCAAGTAAGAAGCAGGATTCCTGCTCAAGAAAACCCATATATAAGGCCTCCTCCTCAGCTGCACCTCAGCATCCAGGCTGCTTTCCAGGAACCTTCCTCCAGTACCTGACCTGAAAAAAAACCACTTAATTTGTACCCAGTGTGCACATGGCTTGGGGGAACTCTCAGAAGCCTCTTGTGATATTTTAGGAAGCAGTCCCAAGAGTCTGAGAACCTCCCTTTACAGCTGCACCATTCTTGAGCACAGGCTGTATATTCTCTGAGACGTGGGGCTGGATGACTGATGCTGCACTAACCTGAAACCCACTGAATCCAGATGACGTCGTATCTCTGTGGGGCTGGAGTGAATTCCTGGAGGCTTTTGCAATAATACATCTCTACTCTGTCCTCCTTGCCCTGCAGGTAGTTGGGGACCTCAGCCAGGAAATTCTCCATCATATCCACCAGCTCCACGCTCTTGAAAACCGGCAGCAGGACGTGTTTGCTGATACGACCTATCCCAGAGCCGCAGTCCAGGGCGCGGTTGGTGCCGGCCTTCCCCACCCCCTGTGGGACACAAGAAGAGAATCTGAAATCTGAAAAACACCACACCTGAAAGATCACAGCAACTGTGTTATCCACTATGGCCTTTAGCCCACCAGATCTTGTCTCCTTTTTTTCTGCAGGGCTGTTGCAGGATTGGTAAGAATCAATCCAGCCCTGGGTACCGCTGTGTGAGCCCAGCTGGGCTGCCACATTCCCAGGCTGCTGCTGGGGGGACTTCCTTACTGGATTTTAAGTTTTTGCTTGGTACAAGAAGAGAAAAAGTCTTTCAGAAGCTCCTAGCATTCTCAGAGGATCCGCTGCTCCTTGTAAAGTCCTTGCAACTTCAAATATTCACACCTGACAGCTGACTACATGGCTAGATAAGCCTCATTCTGTGTCTTGTAAAGGCTTAACAGAAAAGGAAGCATATCCCAAATAGTGCATGCAAGCAGTAACTTCTGCAGCACAGAACTCCCAAGGTTGCCACAGACATTTCTGCAGATACACAAAATCCCTGGGATCAGGGATGCAGTTCTTAAAACAAGCTGTGTTTGAACAAAGATCTTGGAGTGGTAGGTAATGTGTGACAGCTCACAAAGTTTTGGCTGGAGCATATACAGGATTTCTTTTAGGCATAGCAACAAGAAAGATGATTGAACAGATTTTGCTTAACTGTTCCTTTTTTCTTCATAAATGTCATCTTTGGACAGAGATCAGACATGAAAAAACATGGTACAAAGGCTAAGGCGATGAGAAAATAATAAGTGCTGTAAAAGGAGCTTTATAATGAAAGCTGTATTTCACCCCTAAAGCTTCCATTCTAGCTATAAAAAGGCTCTTAAGAGCCTGCTGTTGTCCTGTAAAACAGAAATTCTAAGTCTGCACAGGCACTGAGTGTGGGATTGGAGCTCCCCTGGCCAAAGTTATCTGTTGAACAAATACATTAAAAGCAAATGTAAACACCTTTTCCCTGTCCCCTGGAACCGAGCTGAAGTGAAAGCTATGGGCCAAAGTCCCTGCTGCAACTTCACTGCTCTGAAAGGAAATAAGCCCAGGAAAAGTCTTGCTCTTCCCACTTATTGGGAGACCCCCTCTGTAACGATCAAGCATAAATCATGTAACTCACACTTTTCTGGCCTTGCTTCAGTGGGTAATTCAGTAGATTATTAAGGTCAAAGGACAGCACTGTCAATGACATGACTATGAATAGCCCAGCTGAGCATCCGATTACATGGAGTAACTGTAGAAAGAGCACACGCGTCTCAAGGGCTCTCACCAGTCCCCAGGGCTGCTGGTCCCAATTTGTATACCAGGAAGATTAATCTCCTGATGTGTGCAAGAGCCCACAAGCCTTCAACCCTACAGGACTCTGGAGACTACCTGTTTGTAGTTAGCCAGAAAATGGGAGCCATTGCTCATTCACAGGCTGCACTTAGGAGCACGTGGCTTTTCCTGAGGACCAGACTAAGCTGTAGCAAGGAGCTCATGAAAGGAGAAGGAACTGTGTCTTGGATCTCTACAAGGTGGTTTTCCATACTGTTTGCCAGCAGGCACATGCTGGTCTAGTGATCTGATCAAGTAAAAGTCTCTGAGAAAGCTGGTGAGAAAACTGGGAGGACTTACCAAAACAACCGCCAGAATTCGACAAAAAGCCACGTAGCTCCCTCAACATTTGTGATTCAGAGAATCTACAATCCCAGCAGCTCACTCAAAACAGGGAATTCATCTCCCGTGATATGTCACGGCAAGGACCTCTGATGACACACCCCTGTTTGCCATCGAGAGGAAGGAAAGGGAACAACCATGGGAGATGAAGTTCGATCCCACACTTCGCTGAAAAGGAGCGAGAGCATCAGGCAGTGAGTTGAGAAGCCTTGTGAAAAACCACGGCTCCGTCTGTAATGAAAATGTTGACATAATTCCATGTTCAGCTAATATATTTTCAGTTTGGAAGTGCTCAGGGCTTTGACAGAGTATTAACATTTTCTTTGGAAGGCAATCATTTTCCCAAAAGCCTAATTGAGTTGAAAATCAGACTCCTTATTTAAAAAAATAGTATAAGTGAGAACTGTAAGCCAGAACAGGCTTCAAAATTTAAGACTGACTGCTCCTCTGACTACCTGCCTCCCCACAGAATCACCACCCTTTAGGACACATATTCACCCACAAATTCTTCTGTAAAGCTAAATAGGATGGCAAAAAATTTCCTTAGGGATAAAAGAGCTGTGGAATATGTTCTTGATGCTACTTCAGGTCTTGGAAGGGCAGGAAGGAAATGTAGGTATGCAGGATAAAAAGGAAATCAGAATTCAAGAAATGGATAAAAATCATAGTAGTTTTCCTTCTAAATTAAAACAAAAAAAAGCATGTTTTCAACAACATCTCTTCCATTATCCTGATCAAATAGGAGAAAAATCACTTTCAAGAAGCTTTTAATTCAGCAAGTAACCATTGAGGCAGATGAACTGGAGGCTAGAAAGGGAGAAAGGGTTTAGGGCAGAAAGGGAGCTATAAAGTTAACATAACCTCCTTCTGTATTATTTTACACACCTATAGCTCACAACTGTTCCTGAATTAATGGTTTCTTTGTTTTCTTTATTTTCTTTTTTACTCACTACCTCTGGATTAGGCACTTGAAAACACGGTGTCTGTGTGGACATCAAGGCTTTACCTGGCATTAACACACTGCCATAAATATCCAGGGCTGGAGCTCTGCTGATAACCCTTCATGTAGGGCTGTACCTGAGACAGCCTGGAGCTTGTCTGCACAGCACTCTTGGCTCAGGGCATGTTGCTCTTGGTTTGAGTTCTGCCCACACACACATAAAACCTCTTAACTTGAGCACAGTGGCACTTTCAACTCCGTTTGACTCGCCTGGGAGGGAGACAGGCTAAAATATAAGTGAAGTTCTCAGTCCTTTCTGTAATTCCTTCCATGTGCCCAGGCAAGATAAATTCTCCAATGGTACAGAACTCTGTAGCTCAGTTTACAGTGGTGCTAAGAATCATGCTAAGAAATGCCATACCTGAAGGTATGCAACATCAGTCATGGAAGGGAAATGTCACTGTGTGGCATTTCCACACCAGCCAAACTGACTCAAGAGGGGTAATTTGAGTGGAACCGGGCAACTGTTTTTCAAGGAGCACTAGTTTTGCCAGAATATAAAGTTTTTGAAGAATAAAACTCTCTGTGAAACTGGTATTTCAAATCTAGAGAACAGTTATAGCCAAAAGAACATGGGAAAGAATGTTGAAAATGTCAAAAGACTTCTTTTTCACGACTTTCAAGGAAAAAAGAAACCAAACTTGTCAACTTTTCATTTCTAAAGAGTGTTTTTTATTTTGGAACTGACTTGAACTCTTGAAAACAAAGGGAAAAGTTCTTCAGAGGGTAAAACAATAAAAAATTGTTTAGCTGATCTGAAATTAATTTTCCTATTTTCCAATTTTGTTAAACTTCTCTTAAAAAGAAATTATAGTTTATATGAGGGTGAAGCAGAAGATTGGGCTTTTTCTATCTTGATCACCTTATTGGACAAAACACCTTTTCATAGAGCCATAAACTTGGTAAGACATAACTCAAATCAGATTTAGGATAAAGTCACTGCTACAGACAGCCAGTAAATATCTGTATCTGGTGGAGCAGGATTCAAATTTCAGCAGTGAGAAAGGAAAATAAACCATAAGTAACATAACCAATTGACTGCACCTCAACAGAGGACAAGCTTTAACAAATTAAATCAGCAAAATAAGCAAAACGAGCAGATTCCTTTCTGTTTCTTTTTTTTTTTTCTTGTTTGATCTTGGCCATTCAGAGTATCCTTTCTATCCCTGGCTAATTATAGGAGTTCTGCTCTGGAGTATTCTGTGTCTGTCATCACACCTGATGCATTGGGTATGACTTCTCTTTGGCATGTAAAACTCTGGTGCAGACTGTACTTCTTTCCTTTTTGGGTCTTGGAGATGGGAAAGTGTAAGAGTGTGATACAAACCTGCTGCTCAGGGAACCAACTCCATGTGATGTCTAGGAAGCGTGAAATCCTTCCCTGAGCACACAGTTATGCACCACTTGAACTCCACAAATGTCCTTAAAACAAGTCTTCTATAAAATGTAAAGAATGTGCCTCGACCGCATTTCGTTTTTTCTGCAAATGCCATTTTCAGAAATGTCATTCAGAAATGTCACCATCACGTTCAGCTCCTCACTGAACCTCCTTTCTATCTGATTTTGTGTGTGTAGAAAGCGTGGTGATGCACTGAGGCTCTGAAAAGCCTTTTTTTGCATTGGCATTAACACAAATGACTGTTAACATAAAAAAACATAGCTGCTCACTTGTGCCCTGCTGGCTCACGGCTCCAAAAGCCTCCCTCTATCAGGTACAGCAAACTTTGCCATCACTTGCCCTTCACTGCTATGCAGGATTTCTATTTTGTGTTAAGCCACACTCATTTTCCATCCCAATCCATTTCAACTGTATCCTTTTTTTTCCCATACACAACATGTAATTAACCTATTGAACAGGTTTTTTTCCCCAGTGGATCATTAAGGCTAAAAAAAGGTCATCTGGCTATCCCAAATTTGTACACTGGAGCAGAAAATTAAAGATCTATGGTAGCATTATATAGAACTAGTCATTTGGTCAGCAGGAGGACTTAAGAAATTTGTTTTCCTGTAGTTTTGTGGATTCTTTAGCATCTAATACTGTTGTTCAGCTAATTTAGTGGGCTCTCCCCCCGTGAAGAGGGAAGGGCAGTTAGGAAACCATCAGGCCACACTTCTGAAGAATTTCAGATTACCAAACACACGTTTAGGAACGAACAAGATTCTTAGAAACCTAAGGATCAAAGTGATACTGGTCTTAAAATCCCACTTGGCATCTCTCTGCAACTCAGGTCAAAGCAGACCTTTGAAGATGTTTACAGACCTTTAGTAATCTGCCTGAAATGGTCCTCAGTGACACTGGAATGTTCAAGAAAAAATATTTTGCTAATGTAAAGCCTATACTATATATTGCAAATGGAGAGGGGAGGGCTGGGTTTTGTTGCAGCATTCTCAGAAATATCTACAAACAGTCAAACCAGAAACTTGGCATTTAGTCTCAGCTACTTTCCCAAATGGACTGCAGGAATTTGCACAGACAAATCTGCTGCTGAAGCCAGCAAGGGTTTTACCATGAAAGGTCCCAGTCCTGCACTGAGAATTAATCCTCCATTCAAACACACCCCTAAGAACTCCTTGCACAATCCTCACTGCAGCTTTAGACAAAAGGATGTGAAACAGGTAAATAATGATGCAAGAACAGGCAAAATGCATATCTGGAGCCATTTAAAACAGATGTGACTGGGCACTGGGCATGTCATTTTGACACATCACCACTCCTTCTTGCAGAAGATGAGATTAGATGACTCACCCCAACAAACTTCCTGAGAAATTCCCTGGAGGATTCAACGTCTGTGTTGGAGAGCTCGATGTAGTCTCCCATCATTCCCTCTTCCGTGGCTGGCACATCCCGGTAGAAGTGCTTGGCCCTGGCGTAGAACTGCATCTCCCCATTGATGACTTGACTTGTCAAAGCATAAAGTTTCACTGCAAGCAGATAAATCACTATTTTATTGTTAATGACAGATATTTCTGGTTTAGTTAATGGCACAATGACAAAGATGTATGAACTGAAGTTGAGCCTTCAAACCACCAGACCTGTTTCTGAAGCAGCGGTGGAAGGAAAGGTGTTGGATTTAACCCTAGGAGACCTTGAGGGGACACAGTCTTTCTTGGGCAAATTCAGTGCCTCCCAGGCTCAGAGGGCACTTTTGTCATCCCTATATGTGTTCATGTCAGTGCAAGATCATTTCAAGTTTGAAGTGAACACACACACACCAAAGAGAGCAAGGAGTCTGAATTTTCCCAGAAAAGCTGTGGGTGGCATTTATTGCTATGCAGAGTCATCATTTCTGTAATCACAAACCTCACTGTTGTGCAGATTTCCAGATATGCTTTCCAGCCATTGACAGCTGCATGGAGAGTGCACCAAGAGGAGAGTGGATGAATGAGGCACTTGCCCTGGTTTATTTTTAGTGATACTGTACAGCCTGTGGCCCTGCAAGTAAGCTGAACCAAGGCACAGATGATAGTCTCAGGCCTAGATGGGTATACAGGAGGGGAGACAATTTAGGAGAGACAGTCCTAAATTTTCATCTGTCACAGATCAAGGAACAAGGTAATGAGTGGGTGATATACTGGAAGGTTCCTGTGTGCCAGAGGCTGGGATGTTTCTTTTCATTGCTTGGCTACTTTGATGGTAATATAAAGCAATCAGTAGTTTGAAGCTTGTTTTATTAAAACCTGTGAGCTTTGCTGGCTAAAGGGCTATTTCCCCTTATCTTTTAAAAAGCTGAGGTCTGTCCTCTGCATCCTGGGTTCTCCTATATTTGTTGTGCATCAGCATATCCAAAGCAGTTGTGTTTTGCAGCTCAGAAGTTTGGATTAAGGCAGGCTATAAAATTTGCTCGGAAACCATCCCCTCTGACTATTCTGTGTGCACATACAAGTGCCCAGGCATTTTCCTGTGTGCGTGACAGACCTTCCAACACAAACACAACTGCGAGCCTGACAGAGAATGCCAAGTAATAAGGAGGGATAGAGTCACACTGGGAACAATTCCTTGTGAGCACCACCTTGCAGTGTGAGACCAGCTCTGCTGCAGGTTCCCTGTGTGCTTGAGGAACTGGAAATGATCCAGCAGCAAACACCTTTTGGGTTAATAACAACAGGAAGGGAGATCTCCCTGCCACTGCACACACAGCAGGGCCAGGGAGCAGTGCTTGGTCACTGCATCTTTAAACTTCCCCAGGAGCACTGCCAATCACTGCTGGAAAGGCTCTGAACAGGCCATGCCTTGCTCATGCCAGCTGGGGAGCAGGAATTATGCCCTCCACACAGGGGATGAGAGTTAGGCCAGAGGCCCTGAATATAAGCCTGGAATGTATTTATTGAGGGCAAGCAAGCTCAGCAGGGAATGATAAGTGTGTGCCTGCCCATCCTCAGCAGGAGAATGACATTTTGGAGGCAAATGAGGGGGGGGACAAAGGAAGTAGGATGGGGAATAATTACCACCAAGGACCACTAACAGAATAGTGCTATTGGGTTACACATAAGCAGCATGCCCAGCATATCCTTCATCCAACAAAAGCAGCATTACAGCCCCTCTTGTCATCACCTGCTTAAGTCAACTGCTGAACGGATACTATTAAAGCTTTAATCCATTACACATTTATGTTATGCCTGAGAAATTTATACCACAAGAAGCACTGAGCCCAGCAAGGGTCAAACCTGAGAGTTTTACACACTCTGATTATATTCACATACTCAGAAGAAACCATTTAGCTGAAGAAATTAATACAAAGGGGGCAGCAGCCAATCCCCAGCACAACTTGGCCAGGGTGGTTCCCAGAGCCTGGGAAAAGGACTCCATTGGTGGCTGTGATTCTTCCAGTAAGTGATCTCCATCTTTCCCCAGGAGTGGCAACATCTTGTCTTCTGTGTGTCTCCTTTTGCTCCATTTCAGAGGCCAGCCTGTCTGGTGAACAGAACTGAATCCCTGCATGGTGGCTTTGCAAGATCTTCCATATAAGAGTCCAGTGATGATTCCAGGGCTTGTTTAATGGACCTGTCAAGGGACAGTGATTTATCCCATTTTGTTAAATTGAAGGGAAAGGCTTTTACAGGCTGTCTGCACAACAGGACAGCATGAACAACAAATATTCAGAGTCCTTCTACTCAAAACATGAGCCTGACCTGAGGCAACACATGGGGACGATATGCTGTCCAGGATAGCAGATCTGTAGTGTGTGCTCTCAGATTTCTCACTCAGAACCAGTATCAGGCTTGCAGAATTCCTGCCGGGACTTGCATGCACACACCAGCTGACTGCAGCTCCTCCCAGGCCAGCTGGGGCCCCAGAGCCCTGCCTTACGTGCTGGCATCCAAAACCAGCTCTGGGTCAGCATCCACGGGGGCTTCTCCACGCATCAAACTGTGCAAAGAGCTTTTTATGCACGTCTCCCACCCGAGGGCATGCAAGGACACAGGCTAACATAAAGACTGGCACTGTACTCAAAGTCTTCTCCTGTGGACCCACAGTCTCACTCACGCAGTGTGAGATTTCTAGAGGTGATTTTCACCTCTTGCTCCCTCGGTGTTACTCCTCCCTTTCAGGAATTTGCAGCACTGCCAAGTCTCCCAATGCACAACCCAATTTTCCAGACACAGTCAATCAGCCTCACCTCTGGTCTGCCTTGAAGCTGTGCCTGGCATGCAGCTCCAGCAGCAGATCCACAGGGAGAGGGAGCTTTGCAGCTTGCAGGAACCTACCCCAAAAGAGAAGTGCACGGAGGCACACAAGTCCTTGGTGGCACTCAGTGCTGCAGCCCTGCTCCAGCATGTCTCCCCCTCATCACAGGGCCTATCTAGCCAGAGGCATCTCCCTTTCCATGACCCATGTGGGACTATCTTGTGCATCAGGAAATGAAATACTTGTGAGGCCTGTTACAGATACACAGCCTGAGTTCAGTGAACTCTGTAAAGTAGGGCATGGGCAGGATAGGACGATGGAGGCTCTCAGACATTATAGAGTGGGCAGCTGTCTAACATATGAGGTTTTCTGTGTTAAGGCAGGTCACTTGTAAGATTTAAGGTTAGAAATGTGTTTCCAGTAAAGTAAGAAGAAACCTTTTCCATGGCACAGTTGTCCCTTGGCTGAATCTGCTGGCAAGTCCCCCAAGTGGAGACAGCTAAAGCAAACCCACTGCAAAATCAGGCTGAGGGCAGGAACTGGCTCCCTAAAGGTCACTCCAGTCATGAGACATTAATAATTTTCAGTCACTGCAAACACAGGCTGGATGCAGAGTGGTGATCTACAGCTGAATGCCAATGTGTGAACTAGACAGACACAACCCACCTGAGCCTTCTGCCCTGCAAAGTCCAAAACATTTTCTCTAATATTTTCTTATGGATCAGTTAAAAATGTTGTATTCCAGTGCATCTGGTCCAAATCTCTAAAGAAACTGAGGACTTAATAAACAATTTTGGGTGCAATCCCAACCTGCAGTACACTGTCCTACAGTTCTTGGTTGCAGGGTTTACTCAGCTAAATTTCTCTGGCAGAAGTAAATGCTGCAAGTAATTTTTTTGAAGTTTTTATTTCTGAACATTATTTAGTGGCTCCAACTGCTTTCTGCAAGACACTGAACTAATTCCAGTTTGGCTGAGTGTTCCCTTCTAAATGCAACATCTGCTTTGTGCATCAGTTGAAAAATAGTTATCTGTGTGCAGGGTAGAATTTACCTCTCAGCTGTGGTCTAAGAACCATGTAAATTCTGTTTTATAGAGGATGAACATCATCCCGCCCCCAGAGCAGATTTTACTTACAGACACGTGCCTCACACACAGGAATATTTGTCCCCAGGGATGGATCATCTAAGTTTTCCACTGCAGATCTCACCCCACTGGCACCGAGTCCCACAGCCCATGTAAACATGTGCATAATTTCCAGCATCTGAGCAGCTCCATTAAAGTCCACTGGGCTTAAGGGCACTCACACACATTTAAGTACATTGTTGGACCAGGGCCTAAAGTTACTCATGTCTTTTATTTATAAATGTTACCCTGGTCTGTAAAAGTGACATGTTTCTCTTAACAGGCTGTGATACCAGATATGCTCAGCTCCTAAGTAAACATGACTGAAAGTGCTCCACCACTGAACCTGGCAGTGGAGTGGGGGGAGCATGGAGTTAGCATAGCTTGAAGGAAGCTTTGTACCTTGCTGACCCTGGGCAGCACTGCAAGATTCAATGTGAGGCTTGATTTCAGCATTATTATTCATGCTTAGGGTTAAGGACATGCTTAACTACTCTGCTAGGTCACAGTCTTCTCCTGCTAAACGACTAAAGTGCTGCTTTAGTCATTTAATACTGTTTACATAGAGATATCTGGATCTAGTCTTGAAGCCTGAGAAGTTCAGTTCGATTCTGCTCAGCTCTACTCTGAACTGAACTGGAAAATGTCATTCTGCAGAGATGTCAGACCTGCCACATTCTGTCCTTTCCATTGCAGCACTGGATCACAGGATAATCCAGGTTGGAAGGCACCTCAGGAGACTTAATCCAATTTATGCTCAAAGCAGGGACAGACATGACAGCAGACGAGGTTCCCCAGGACTTTATTCAGCTAGAGTTAGAAAGCCTCCAGTGACAGACAATCGCATAACTTCACCAAGCAACCTGTTCCGATGCCTGACTGTCCTCTCAGAAAAAGAGTTTTTCCTTATACCCAGTCTGAACTACTTTTATTTTGATTTATAGCCACCGTCTCTTGTCCTCCTGCCTCTATGCAGAGCTCAGCTTCATCTTCTTCATGATCTTCTTGTAGGTACTAGCAAGGTGATGTTTGGTCTCCCCTCTGGCTGAACATTCCCCATTCCCTTAGTCTGTCTTCACAGGGCACGAGCTCCAGTTCCCCCACCACCCTGGAGGTCCATCCAGCTCGCTCCAGGTCATTTCACAAATGTGGTCCAATGACTGCTGCAGAAAAGGGGATAATCACTTCCCTTGATCTCCCAGCCATGCCTTTGTTATAACATCCCGGGGTACTGTTGGCTGCCTCTGCTGCCAGGACACGCTGCTGCTTCACGCTCAGTTGCTGCCCAGCAAAACCCAACCAGTGGGGCTGCTCCCCAGCCAGTCCCTGCCCAGCCTGGGGTGTTGCTGTTTTTCTTTCCAGGTACATGACCTGGCATTTGGCTTTGAATTTGAGTGAATTTGAATGGTGCCAGTTTCCCACTGCCTCCTTCCTCCAGCCTGTGTAGGTGGCTCTGCATGGCAGTCCTGACATGTTGTGAAGTTCCCTGGATGTGTATTCACAGTGCATGAGCTACCTGCCAGTACCTGCCCTCATGCCCACTTTTCCCTCGTGACAATAACCATGGAGTGACACATATGGCATGTTCACAGGAAGCCTGGGCTCACAGTCCATTTTCCATGGAGTCAAAGCAATTTGGGTAAGCTGGCAACAGGCTTGGAAGCTCTTTAGTGAAGTTTCAACGAGTCAGGTCATGCAAAGCCTGGCAGAGGGGATCTCTAGTCTGATAGGAACATTTTACACAGCTTCTTGGCTGGGAATGGAAATTCAAATAAAATTCAGACAAGAAATAAAATATAGTTTTACAAGAGTGAAGCAATTAGGCCTGGAAACAGCTTAATGGTGACTGATGGATTCTCAGCTATTTGAAGCCCTTAAACCAGGATATTTTTGTTTTCATAAATACATACTGTTACCCAGACATAAGTTACAAGCTGAATGCAGAACTTTCACATGAAAAACTAAGCTAGATGGTCATAATGGTATTTTCTAACCTTAAAATGATCTATTGGTACTTACACTAACAGTTAACAATGTAGAAAATCCTGCTCAGTTTCTAATATGTTGTGTTTATTTTTAAAACAGTGAAAGAATAACATTTTCATAGACTTCTTGAGACTTCATGGACCTGTAATTGACTTCTCTTCCTTTACATCTTTCCTTCCTGTCCATCATTCACAGCTACCTACCACTAAGTATAGGACTATTTATCTTCCACCTTTCATTTCAAATAGCTGCAGATACTGCTGCATTAAAAAAGCCCCATCAAAATACTAAGATAACAAACAGAAATGCTTTTTTCTCTTTACAGGACTAGTGAGTTCTACCCTCCTGAGCAGAGTTCTCACTGGGATCTGTATCATTCACACAACCAGGTAAGATAATCCTCTCACCTAAACGGATCAGTCAGTTAGGAAGGAGCTCTCAAGAGTTCACTGTGAAGAGCAGTTTAACAGATTGCAGAGACTCATCCTTTCCATTTAAATTCTTACAGTTCTGACATTGAGTGTAGGCTGAATAATTCTGCTTAAAACAGAATGACTTGCTAATGTAATACAGACTCAAGTCAAATCTACTTTTTAGCTATATTATCCTATGGAAATTTTCTTTCTTGTTCAGGGTCGAATTTTCATAAAAAGAGAACATACATTTTCTGCATCTTAAAAAAAAAAAAAAAAAAAGATGTCTTGGGTATTCTGTACCAGAGGCTGTTACTGGAATTTGTCTATAAACAAATGTTTTAGAAGCATTTTCCTCGCAGAGAACAAACTGTAGGCTAGACAGCCTGCTGCAGAGATCAGGGTAAAGAAGACTCTTGAAAAAAAATTTAAATCATTACCTTCCAAGTACTTGTCCAAAACAATACAAACAACAGGGCTAAGGACACCCAGAATGACAACAAAACATGCATCAGGCAACAGAAAGTAAGGCCTGTCAGCTCTGCTAGTTTTGCATTTGTCCTTCCAAGTTCCAAACAGGTCAAAGCGTGTTTTACTCAAACAGTGACAAAAAAAGGAACTGTCTGCCAGACACCAAACCTTTCTTTCACTCTGGTCTTTCCCTTGCCCTCTTCTAACAATTCCTGGAGTACTAAGGTAAAACAACAGGGTACTAAATTAGAGGGAGCTGAGAGAGAGGGTGCCAAACGATTCCAGGCTTCTCTAAACTACTACACTTACTGCCATTAATGTGTCTGCCCTCTACCATAAAACATGATACACCTTCCCAGAGCATGGTCACACACAGACACTCCTGCCCACTGGCTACTCACCCAGGGGAAGCTTCTCCAGCAGATAAAGGTAACACTTAAAGAAGTCATTTTGGATGGCCTTGTGCAAGACAAAGGACATACTGTGGCGACAGAGTTCTTCGTCGGTCTTGTGCCAGCGCGACTTGAAGGCCAAATGTGCTGCCTTATACGCCATGATGAAGATGTTTTGTGAGGGTGGACAGCTGCTGGGGCTGGTGCTCTCTGCACGACCTGTCCTGCTGAAGAGGCAGAGGCAGTGTCATTTAAATTGTGGCAATGTGCTGTCATTCTATACCGGGGTGTGTGCCGAGAGCGGCGCAGGGGGCGGAGGCGGGCGCGGGGAGTGAGAAATGCTGGCTCTTGGCGCTGGCTCACAGCAAGCTGGGGAGTGTCGCCCTCTGAGACAAGCAGGTGCTGGAAAGGGGGAAAAAAAATCACCCAGGAAATTGCTTAGCCAGGGTAAAAGTATATCTACTCCAAGAAAGAGTAGCTTTAATTCAATTACACTTCTCCTAATCTATTCATCCTTCACTTCAAAGGAACTCAGATATTATCCAGGATCTCCCTCTTTTATATCTCACAGGGTGGTTTTGTTTCTGTGTGTCTCCCTCACTATTAGTTCTTCAGTCAACAGGAAGGCCAGAAGACAGAACACGGACGTGCCTCTACACAAACTGTGTCCTAATAAACTGTGATTATAGCAAGCAAAGAGAAAGCAACAGATTCAGCTTCAGGCTTTTGTCACTGTGTGTGACAGGGCAAGCTACTTTCTACAATTTGCCTGGGCTCATTTAATCTGGTTAAATCATATAGACTACCTCATCAGCAGGGACTAGCTGGAAGGAATTGCTTTCTGGCAACACAGGAATGGTAAAGTGAGGGAAGGATAAGAGCTTTTTGCTTTAGTTAACAAAATACACAGAAGAACAAAAGGAGATAAACTTCCTGTTGACAAACGTGGACAAATTTCTTGTCTGGGAAAGAGCAGGTTCAGGCCACTACATAAAGGGGGCTGCATACCACCAGTATGTCCCATCCCCCAGGAGGCTCAGGCCCTCAAGGGACAAGGGACAAGTACTGCTTCAAAACCTTGTTTGTCCCTTGGCAGTTCAGGCTCTTGGTGTGGTACAGCCTCAAGACTCTCGAGTTGCAAAGGTACCTGGCAAGGGGATAGGGACTTTGTACTGCCTGCACTGACCTCCACACAGTGTGCCCAGGAGTGCTTCTTTTCTTCAGGCTGTTTATTCCAGCTGTCTGCAGTGTAAGCAAACTATGACGCAGCAACACAGAGTCAGGAAGTTGGATGTTTCCAACACAAAAGGGCTGCCATATGTCCTGAGCAGTACTGCAACCTCCTGGCAAATATCTGGTCAAGCTTCTAAGAGCAGCACAAGGATGACCCAGCCTTTACCAAGGAAAATCACTAGTAATTTGGCTACAGGTGATGCTTTAGCAATGCATCAATTAAAGTCTGTTTTTTAACATAATTTTCCTCTTGGAGCAACCAGTCTCTGTTTCTCTGCTTTGATATTACTTATTCAAAGTATTTAGGGGCAAAACCATCCCTGGCCTTTTCTGTTTCCTTAAACTACCATCCTGTACTACTCATTCTCACCTAACTGCACTGGCACATGCTCCCCCAGCTGCTCCAGTCTACGTGATTGTGCAAATGTGTTGGTGAACAGATCAATGAATAAACCTTATTCAGAAAAATATACTTATTTTTCTTTTAAGTGGGATCAGTTCCCCAATCCAGCTCACAGCTGACACAAGGGAATTTGTCATGTGCTGCACTACGGGGGCTGGAGCAGCCACCTGGGATGGCAATGCGGAGGAGGGAGCCATCCAACAACAATACACAGTGGCCTTATCAATAATGCAGCTCTCCCTGCTTCATCCTGTCAGAGAGGTGTGCCCAAGGGGGTTCCACAACAGCCAAAGGTGATTTAAGTAATGGAAGATATGTTTCTACCTTTCCACTCCTTCCTGCTTGCATATTCCCTTGTTGAGGTGTCTGCTGAGACGTTCCAGGCTTTTTTTGTCTGGTTAGCACTATGAACAAGCTCAGTGCAGAGTTTACAACTGCCAGGGAAATGCAAGAGGAAGGTAGAAATGTGCAGCTGAGGATGGGATGGAGAGAGTGGGATCATGGGGGTGGTTACATCAGCTCTAGTGCCACTGCACCAGAGTCTGAGCCCTTCCTTGAACAGAGGGTGATGTTCACGCAGCCTTAGAAATTCCCTTGAAATAACTCAGTCTCAAAATTCCTCCCAGTTATGTATCTATCAGAGAAACCAGGCTCTCTCCAACTAATTCTGAAGTATCTGGGCCCAAATACAATACTGGTGCATGTCTTGGTTTTCTCACAGATCTGACCCTTTCTCTTTGCTTATCTATTTTCAGCCACTCACCACTCAGCGTGCCAGGAACGGATGTGTCAAGACAGCACCTTAATGCTTTGGAAAGCAAGCTGACAAAAGACACCCCTACAAGTGTCAGGACCCACCTGTTCAGCATTTGACACCCTGTTTCACATCTGTCATGGCTGCAGTTTTGGCAATGCCCATTGTGTAGCAAAGTGACCCCTCTACTTAGAGACAGCAGTGACTCCAAGCATGAAGCCCAAGTCCTGCCGTGTCCTAGTGGAGTCAAATGGTGGGATAGGACTATGGAGGGTTCTGGGACTACAGCCCCAGGAATCCCCATAGCTCTGACAGGCAGGAAGTCCACACGGGCCTCGGCTTTTAGGTGTGCCAGGAGGATGTGAAGCATGAAGGCAAAAAAGTGCATTCTCTATCATTTTAATGCCCTGCTAGTGATCTTCTCATAACATACTCTTCCTAGTCCACTTTCCTTAGGAAAACAGCATAACAATCATGTTTTGTATGTCTCTGTCGCTGACTTTTACTACCCCACCACCAATCAACATTTAAACCTCTCCATCTCAAACAGATCCCAGAACTATTTCAAAGATTGCATCAAAACTGTAGATGAGGTAGAGACACAGGTCTCATCTCAGTGTCACTCAGCAAGGTGAGCCTTGCTCTTATGAGACACTATAAAACCCATAAGGATGGTTGGGCACATCCACACTTGTCTTTCCATGGTACCATTCTCAGCCACCCAACACAAAGGTGTCAAAAAAAACAGTTCTGAAAAAAATAGGATTAGTTCACAGAAACTGTGAACAATGCCAGAACTACAACATGCCCCACATTTACATTAACAAGAACTGTGGGGCTTGAGTATGGGCATGATGGCACCCATGCTACTTGTAGGATCACTACTGAAAAGTTTAGTTACCTTTCTAAAACAGCTATTTAGCTTTTCCTGAAGTTGAAGCCAGCTAGGCAGCCTTCCTCTTGGTAGGAGGGACAGTGGAGAATCTGGACCTCTGGACAACCTGAAGCCCTACACTAAAATAACAGTCTACACATCCATAATGCATGACAGTCCTTGGCTTCAACAGCTTTTAGTCTAAAATAAGAATGTGCTTGTATTTATGTGGGTAATAAAATAGTTCCTCTGTGTGTCTTCCTCTTCCTCCCTGTGAGATCAGGCAGTTCTAGGGAGGGTTTAGCATGGATTAAAATAAAGGATCAGCTAGAGCAGCTTCTCGTTAAAAGACCTTTAGCTGATCTCTGCCTGGGAGCAGCAGGTTTAAAATAAGGCATCAGATGGCTTATGATGAGTCGTGCAAGATCCAAGGTGGATCTGGTTGTTGGAGCATCGGGGTATTTAAAGAGAAGTTGTACTGGCCTTTGCATTAGTAGGTAACCACCTGTCTGTGCAGAGCTGAGCTGTACACACCACTTCTGAAACACATCAGCTGCACAGCAATGAAAAACAAAACCATGTGCACCAGCTCAACATATCACACAGATCACAAAGGGTCAATTTTGCCTTTAAATTACTGTGTTCTGCTTACAAAACACCTGGTATGCAATCCAATTTCCACATGGACAAACCATCAGAATTGCTGTAAGATGTCTCCTTACCTTAAAAAGGCCTCTATTAATTCTTCTCCCTCACACTCATGCCTGGCATATGCTGTCAGGAATAGATGTGGTTAAAGCAAGTAATTTTTGTTTTATCTTTGACAACAAGACTTTAAAAGTTCCTGAGAACCACAGGATGATGTTGACAGAAGAGGCACAGGCAGAGAGCACACGTGCAGTTGTGAGGGCAGAGAAGAACAGCTGCAGGTTGGGTGGCAGGTGGGAACCTTTACAACTGAACTGCTGCTGCCTGGATTGTTCTGCTGCAGCTTTGGGGGCTTATTTAGAGCAACAGTGAACGCCCATGTCTGGGTGTCAGGCTGGAAAATACTAATATGACAATGGATGCATTAATTGTCTGACTTTCTTAGTCACAATCCTCACCCACCTAAACTCCGCTCATGGGTCCAATTAGACTTAGCAGTTTTCAAAAGTATTACTGTGAAAGTAATTCGGTTTTGAGTTGACTGTAGAATTGAGAAAAAACAGTGGTTTGGGTTGATGAGAAACTGAAATATTTCCCTTTTCTCACCCGGAAAAAAAATTTCTGTTTCAGGCCAAACAAAATGTTTTGTTTGTTTGCAGGGCTATTTCCCTTCTTCAAATTTTTATTTGTTTGTAATCAAATTTAGGTAAATTTAGTTTCTGTCTTTCATTTACAAGGGCAAACAAGAACAATGTTGTTGTCACCAGCAGACTGATCAGTCTTGCAAAACCACTCTGTGAAAAATGACCCAAGGAAATGCAGAGCAAAACAGGTCCTTAGGCAAAGACCCAACCTTGGGATAGACTGCTGATGTTTCAGGAGAAACCCTTTCTTTGAACCACATTTCCAAAGCAGAGTTCACTGCCTGTAGGTCAGGATGACTCACACCCTTCAGGGCATATCCTGCACAATTCCCAGGCGCTTTCACGGGTGCAGTCACAGCAGCAATCTGTTATCATTTACACAATTGGAATTTAGCAATCTGGAATTCCATCTAAAGCAACTAAAGACAGCATGTGAGCCCTATGGGTAAATACATTATAATTCATGTAAATTAAACTGGCCAGGGCTCTGTCCCTATGGAGGGAATACACACTTCTTTTCCTCCAATCCTTCTAGCTCTGGTGCCAACACTAACTTACTTTTCAAAGGGAGTGAGAGAAGCCCCTCTTAGGTAGGAGAGGGAGCCTGTCTCCTCATGTCCCAAGCACAGCGACAGT